ATAACTAAGCACAGAAGAAAAATAATAATAAATTATACAAGTCTTTATTTGTTAAAGACAAATTGATTAAGTTTTATCAATTTGTGGTTTCTGAAAATTTACAAAATCCTATAGGATAGGTAATATGTTACTGCCATCTACTGCAGCAATGAGAAACTAATCGAAGCAAAGCCATCTAGTGGCCGACGCCCGTAAACATTTTTTTTCGATTGCTTGAGTTGCTTAACTATAACTAATTTATGTGTATTATTATCTATGAATTGAATCTTATAAACCAGTGTGTAATATCACCAGTAGCATTTGAATTGCAATGTGTTTGGACTGTGGTAAATGATTATTCTATTCATTTATTAACAAAACAAGGCAGTAAATTACTTAATGATTATTTAAATAGACAACTCGTTTATTTTTGCGAATCCACTAAAATAGCAGCAATACATCAATTAAACGGCGCCAGACTTAGACTGCAAAAAGACACGTTCAATAAATATTTATACATATTTGGTTTTTTTATTCCAATCGTGGCACGTGAAATTGACATATTGTTATAAACTGGTATGTTCAGAATACAGGAAATGCCGACANTTAATGATTATTTAAATAGACAACTCGTTTATTTTTGCGAATCCACTAAAATAGCAGCAATACATCAATTAAACGGCGCCAGACTTAGACTGCAAAAAGACACGTTCAATAAATATTTATACATATTTGGTTTTTTTATTCCAATCGTGGCACGTGAAATTGACATATTGTTATAAACTGGTATGTTCAGAATACAGGAAATGCCGACACGAATATTTTTGTAGATTTTTTTTCTCCTGTAGCACTGTGAATTTGTTCCCACAAGACACACACAAAATATATCCAACATCTACCTATTTAATACACATTTTTGTTAAATATTTTTTATTGGTTTTAATTGAAAATTTCTAGAACAATAAAATCTTTCCGGTTCTCGGAAAGAGCACAATACGAGGAAGCACGAGGACTCACTAGGTTATTTAATAAGGCATTAAACACGTTAGACAAAAACGAATAGGGTCGTTTCCAAGCGGTCATATAAAATGTTGAAGATTCATGATGTGTTAATATTACTTGTAATGTTTGGAAAGTATGGAATTGCAAAAATTAATTCATAATAAGTATAAAGAATACAATCTGATGCCAATACATTGATAAATTTTATCAATATACAAATATTGGTTAAAGAAAACGAGCTGATTCCACGTATGGAACGTGAGGCCATTGAAATAAAAATACCCCCAACATCGAGGGAGAGGCGATCGGGGCTAATATAACAACTCCTCTCTTCTTATCGTGAAGATGATATCGAAAGATAAAATGTTGTCGTAAACGTCGAGATGCTGGTATTTTATTTTTGTATGCAAAGAAACACAAACTTTAATTTTAATAAAAAATTTGTGGGTAGTTGGAATAAAATTCAAGTGTCGACGAATAACACTCTAAGCTTTCGTCACCACGAAAACTGAAAAGTCGAAAGTAATAACAGCTATATTAAACTTTCAAATTAGTTTTAATTACGCTTGCAAAAATTATATAAATATAATTGAATCAACACAATCCTCTCGTGGAGCCAACAATGGTTCCTAAAAGTCATAAATATTTCCGCTAGGGACAGAACTGTGGCCTTCAAAAGGCCTGATCGCGGCCGCACGTTTTCGATTGATTAATAATGCCCTATCAATCATAATTCAAGCCCCCTCGCAACAAATCAGCACCATCAAAACAGCCGCACCGATTGATTCAAACGCAATTTCATAATTTACGACTAAATTGCGCGGCTATTATCCTATTTACCAGTCGTCACGTGGGACCGTGTGATACGGAATGAATTCGGCAACACTTCGGCTTCGCTTGTGTTCGTAATTTGCTTTAAGGGCCAATCTCGAAGCTCTCAATAAATCATTAACATTGTTCGGATGATATACGTTTGTTCTTAGAATTGACCCAGTAGGACGCGGTTCGGCTTCGAAAGAGGCTCAAAAAATTCAACATTATAAGTATAATATTATGCATTTTAAAACGCTGCCAAAAATTTTCTACGTAGTATTCTTGTTTTATATTCCTCTGATGGATGAATGAGGTCACGGGTCACGTTGTGTTGAATAGTTGTTAAAGCCATCATATACGTCAACAACATAGGTGCCGCCACCCCTTAAGACATTAGTTTTAAGTCTCAGTTTTATAGACAACGGCTGCCTTCAAATCGAAACGCATTACGAAAAAAATAGTCAGGGTGGTGGTTAATCTACCCCGTGCAGGCTCACAAGCCGCCCTACTCCCAGTAAATATTCCCTTATGAAGTACATTACCATTGTTTAGATTTCCAATTATTGCAATTTGTATAGGATTAGTAAGACTGTTATGGATTGAAGAGTCCCAATTTTTTATGGTCCGATGATTAAAAGGAAGGAATCGAGTAGCAAAAACATCAACTACTAACTATATGGTCCGTAATACAAAGCATTAGCAACATCAATGCATATAAAAATATAGTCACTTCTCATGGTTTCATTAGCGGCACGTGAATAAGCAAAAACCGAACCCAGTGAGATTGTCTTAATATTGAAGGACACAATTTAAATATTAGCCTTATTAAGTATGATGTGTTCATAAATATGCCAGCAAGTGCAAGAGCAAAGCCAAAATTGATTTGAATGCAATAATTGAAACACGTGCAGGTGTGAGTTAGTTTTGTTCTCAAAAATTTCGCTTTTTAAAAGGATTACTTCCTAAATCATATTTTCGTTAAAAAAAGTCTTGCTTAAAATTGATATTCGATCTTATGGCTGTTTATTTGTACACCTTGTTCGAACGAAAAATACATAGCGAACCCTAATCAAAGATAGATTGGAAAATCATCGCTCTATAATCGATAATTCAATTTACTGAAGTTTAATTCTTGCACGGCGTCTTAAATATTATAACAAAAAAGATTTATTATTTTTTTGTTTTCAAATGTATCTTTTTTTTTTTATATACATATTTACTAACGAAAATGGAACAAAATGCATTGTCCTAAAAATGATGTAAATTATATGAAATTCAAAGCACCACCAAAACCACCACACACACCAACATTCAAACCCGAACAAGAAATATGAGCGAACCAAAAAAAAAAAGAAGAAAAACATTAACTTCTTAAAAGACGAACTAAAAGACGGTTACCGTTACGAATAAGCTTTAAAGGCAGCGACATAAAAAGGCTTTTTTTAAACCAAATAGCACACACGGGCCGGGACGGACTCGACCCGTAAGTCATCGAAGCTGTCAAGATAAGAATGAGTGAATGGACACCTGCCGCTACCGGTGTTACGCGCGCGCCTACGCACCCGCGCTCCGCTTATTTCATATAAATCCATAATTTAAACAATCTCAAAACGATAACGAATCTCGACCTTAAACAACAAAACATAGTAACCATTCTCATATAAAGCTGTATGATTTTTAAAAACTATTTTCGAACGCACGCCATCCACGATCCTAGGTTAGACCGATTATCTTCTTGAATCGACTTTAAAATTAGGTATAATAATGATTATCGTTGTTTTTAAAATACGACTGACAAGACTTGACATCCGGAACCGCTTTTATTTTTATTGGTTTAATAACGCAATTACCGAGATAAGTTTTTCGATGCAGATGTAGCGTTATAAGAGAAAGGATTCTGGATGTTTAAAAGTCGTTAAAATTCCGCGATACTTTTTTTTTATTTTTTTTATTTTTTATTTATGGCATTCGTTTTCAGATTAGTCACGGATGATGTGCGTGTTTTATGAAAATGAACATGGTCGACATTCTTTTCCTATTTGTCAGGTTTAATTGGCCTAATTGCTGAGCGGACTCCTTCGTGGAATCATCGACGTTCCGATGGCTTCTGTTCATCATTCCATGATACAATAATCCAACCTTTTCCCTAAGACAATATTTAATCGATATTGTGATAGGTATATATATAACTTAAACACAAAGCCTAGGTAAAGTATTCGAAGATAATCGTAAGACATACTGTGAGCACAAGTAGCTACCTCCACCTTGTCTATTTTTGCTGCGAAGCAGTAATGCATTCCGATTTGAAGGGTGAGGCAGCCGTTGTATTACTACTACTAAGAACTAAGACCTCAGAACTCGTGTCTGAATGTGGGTGGCGACATTTACGCTCTAGTTGTCTATGGGCTCCGGTACCCCCTTAACTCCTGATGGGCCGTGAGCTCGTCCCCCATCTAACCAATAAAAAAGTCGGAAATAGCATACGTGAGATTAAACCTTTACGTTGCTATAGTAATGTCTGCAATTCGCGAAAATCGAACAAGAAAAAATACAAAGCCTAGATTCAAATAAATATGCGTTTTTATTCAACCATGATCACTCTTGAACACGGTTCACGTTACTTACTTTCGTAATTCTTTCTGAACTGCGCCCACTCGCCTGAAAACGAATCAACTGAGCCACGAACGCGATATCTTTTGCAATAATCCCTTCCGTAATTCAATGAGTCTAAGAAAATATAAATTAAATACCTATAGCATAGAAACGAAACTAAGATTGACATGTTCTTAAAGGCATTTTCGAATTTTCATGCTCTGTTCAAATGCATCTGCGAACAGAGCATTCCTGCATCCGGCAGTTCGTGACTCTCGTCACGACTCTGACTTTTAAAATATTAAAATTATAACCAATATGATCGACAAACTGTAATTTATTATCGCCTGTAGACTTGTCACTACAGTTGGATTCACCTATTAGAGTTTTGGCGCCAAATATACGAATAAACTATGAATGTACACACTATCGCAACTACGTGCTTCACCCACGAATCTTGATTGAGCCAAGGTTGCATTTATTGACATTACAAAACGCTTTTAAACACGTTTAATCCAAAGCCGTCCTGACACTGGTAAAAATCGTGAATGTCACAAAAACTTAGAAAGGACCAAGATTCGTTCGTCGAAGCAAGAAATTCGTGCAGCACTCACCCCTGTCTGATATAAAATCTTGATTCCACTCATCGGCGGTAACGTCGTCCTCCTGTGCGGCGGAAGCGGCAGTTTGTCCGGTCTTCTAATGTGGATTTCTGCGGACGGCCTGAACGCTTCCAGAGGCGTTCGGATGACGCTTCGGACGCCACAGAAAGCGCACGCCAAAATCAGGGACGCCAACATTTGCATGTTCGCACTGACAAGACACTACAGCGACGTTTTAAACACGGAGAAATGTGTCCGTATTTCAGCGTTCTCGATATATGTTGAGTTCGCGTGCGTTTTGTGGTCGCGTGCGGAGTGTCGCGTCGTGAGGTCGGGCAAGCTCGGACTGGCAGCGGGCGCGCCGAAGCAGGTACGCCTTAGCCTACGCGCCCGGTATAACCACCTTCGATCGCAACCGAACAGTTTTGATTCTTTAAAGGCTTTTTTGTGTACCCAGCACTGGTTGATCGTTTTCGTTGTTTTTCTTGATGCCATTATATCACATTAAATGGGGTCAGCGTTTTTATTTTATTTTATTTTATTGCTGGTATTAAGTGGTTACCAGAGCCCATATACATCTACAATGTAAATATGTATATACGCCACCCGCCTTGAGATAATATAAGTTATAAGGTCTCAGTATAGTTACAACGGCTGCCCCGCTTTTCAAACCGAAACGCATTACTGCTTCACGGCAGAAATAGGCACGGTAGTGGTACCTACCCGCGCGGACTCAAGAGCGTAAATGTAAGTATGTTGTAATTTGAGCCTTAATGTCTCCTGGGTATTAACAAGTTGTAGCTCGAGGTAGCCAAGAGTCGCAGAGTCTTATCTGATATTATCTCATCTCTGATAAATCATTGTATCGTATTTTAGTTTTTTTTTTTACCTTCAATAACATTTATTCGCAAACTTTGGTGGTTAAATGTAGACTGATTTGAATTTTGTTGTTCTAGGATAAGATCATTTTTAAACATAGCTGGTTTTATTTGAAATATGCGATGCACATTTTATGTCAACAAGACACTTATTTTTAAATACCTGTTCGGACCAGTGATAAAACAAAACAAATGACCATCGCGAAATTTAAAATACACCCACGCATCGAATCGTAAATTTTAAATCGCCTCATTTACAACGATTTTATGTCAAATACTTAAATCTAATACTCGATTGTAAATATGTTTTTCTATATATAATAAAAAAATACGTGGCAACTATCAAGACTGTTTAGTTGCACTTACTTAACTTCCTACCGACGATGTTTTTTACACAATCTTGTTGCTTTATAAAGCTGTGTTCATGTGGGTTAAAATAATATATTTTATTTGTTAATAATAATCACTGTGTCACACAGTAAAACCTATCTTATCCGGCTTTATTAAATCGAATGACTGTGAAAGAAATGTGTATAATACTTTTATTCGTTACCAAAACTCCTGTCTTAATAAAACACGCAAAACCATTTTTGAGTATACCATTCAACACGTAAATAAATATACTTTGGATTGTATATATATTTTTTTAATTCTATTACGACAAAGTCAGTAGGGATTACGGAGACATACAAAAAAAACCAGTAACAAATGAACCACGTAGACAATACGACCCATTCAAAAACAAGGGTTGAATTTCCCTCGGCGCAGTAACAACAAACAAAATTATCTCGAAAACAACACCATTCAAGGCGTTCTTAGAACACGATCACAATCTAAAACTCAATTGTGAATGTAATTGGGCCTTTACATCTTGCGTCTCGCTCGCTCCCATTCACCGGCCTCGGTTCATGAATGAACCGCTTCTTATGAATGAGAAGTCGAGATCGTACTATACGTACATACCGTTAATGTATTTATATAGATTTATGTATATCGATTGTCGGGTGTTGCGTAGGTATGTATGTAGAGGGCACGTGGCCTTAGTATTTGCTTCTTATTTTTTTTATAAATGCGCAGTCATAATATCGATAATACATTTAGAGTGTTCTTCTTTTGCTCAGTGATCATTTAAAAAAAAACGATCTTGAATTGCAGTTGCTTAAAAAAGCATGCCTTTATTAATCGCAAAACGGTTAGGTAGTATATTTTTTCCGGTTTCATAAATTGATTTTGGAAAATATTGATGCTTTCTGACTCTATATATGTCGAGTACCGATGTTGGTAAGATCAAAAGTTACTTTAAAAAAAATGCCGCAATGTGTAACCGAGATATTATAGTTTTCATATCTATATATTAATACGTAAAGCAAAAACTTTGTATCCCTTTTTACGAAAATTGCGCGGACGGAGGAGTATGAAATTTTCCACACTTATAGAGAATATAGAGAAGAAGTGCACAACGCTAATATTTTTTTAAAATAATGCATAAAAGATACATTAAATCGATAAAGAAAACATTACACACACTACGTACCATGTATTTGACGCACACACGCATGCATACTATTTATTGTCAAGCTTTTGTTCTTGACGTCTGTTGTCAAATTGAGAATAGATTAAATATTATTTGTCTTTGTTAATATTTTTATAGTGTAGTCTTGGCGAAATTTGTGATTAAAGAAGTATAAAATACAATCTTAATAGTGTACAAACTTACAATTCCAATTAATTATAGTCGAATTTCGACTACTACGGGACCTCTAGTACATAAAGGTGGATGAGTTCAAGGCCTTTTCGGCGTTAAATAGTGGCCATATTTGAAATATATTTTTGAAAAAGACAAATAGCAATATGTAAATTGTATAGGTAGGTACGTCAGTTAGAAGGTGCGTTCCCTGTCACGAATAATAAATTAATTTAGACATTAACTTATTGAACTTTTATATTCAAGAAGCTCGTAAATATTGATTAAGTACGATTATAAAAATTACTATACAAAAATATTGACGATTGTTGTATATTATTTTCCTGTTGATCAAATTTGTACTGGTATTTTTCCTAGAAACATTCATATCGAATTCATAGCAACACACAATAATTTAATAATACGGTTCGCGGGCTCGGTATTTTTGTAATCGAATTATTGAAAACAACAATAGGCTCCATACCGGGTGTTAGGTACGGTGTCTGGTATTTCTTTGCGAATTAATATTTCAGGTTGCGTCAATCCCGAGTTGGTTTTTCTTGTAAGCGTTTTTGATGCGACAGTGTCAAAATAATTTTGTTGTCGCTAGGCGAATAGTGATAATTCGAAAACGTTCAGTGAATTACACACTTACTGGTAGTGGGACCTCTTGTGAGTCCGTGCGGCTAGGTACCACCACCCTGCCTATTTCTGCCATGAAGCAGTAATGCGTTTCGGTTTGAAGGGTGGGGCAGCTGTTGTAACTATACTTGAGACCTAAGAACTTATATCAAGGCGGGTGGCGCACTTACGTCGTTGATGTCTATGGGCTCTAGTAACCACTTAACACCAGGTGAATTGTGAGCTCGTCCACCCATCGATAGATGGATATATAGGCAATAAAAATAAATAAAAAAGAACTATTTATCATCATAAAAAATATCTCATAAATTGTCTCATAATAACTAACCATATATTGTGACCAACAAAGAATATGAACAGAATTTAAAAGTACTTTAGTTAGAATTTTAATTTTAAATTTTAAAGAATCTTACGGACAGGAAAATCCGTCTACTAGAATAAATTCGAAAATATGAAATAGAACAAATAGAACCTACAAAATGAAACAAAAGAAATTATTCAAATCTGCGGTTAAAACTCAAAATTCTTCAGTTTTTCTAATATTCAATTTCGATGATATTTTTACATAACAATTTTCGTGGCCACCAACGACCGGCTACCGATTTTTTTTTTTTTTTGTTAACCTAATTTCTTCGACAAACTCAGGGCCAATCTTTTATTATGTGGTTATCGGATCCAATACGCGCTGTGCATCACGCTAGGAACCTTTCAAAACACTGCCACTACGACTACATACACAAATAGTTCTCCAATACACTCGTGACAACAAACACGAAACGACACCACGTATTAAGTAAGTATTACAAGATTCGGAATGTTTGGTATGTGGCCATCGATAGAATGTGAATGAATACCTGTAGGTACTGTTTCAAAACGCTTCGAACATTTTAAATCTACGTTTAATTCATATATAGCCGGTTTTTTTATTGTTTAAGGTTTTATTTTTTTTCCTATCAAATAGATGGTATTCCAGCTTGGCTAAGCTGGTATAATTTGGTAGGCAGCGGCTTGGCTCTGCCGCTGACATTGTTGACGTCATTGCTGCATGAGCAACGGTGACCACTCATCATCAGATGGGATGTGTGCACGTCTGACTACACGGCAATAACAAAAAGTAAAAAATAAACATTCAAGTTGGCGTCAATCAATCATTAAATAACAAGTTTTGACGTCATCTCTGACTATATTGCCCCCTTTGTCTTGCATGAAACAAAAAAAAACCCTTATAAATATCACGCTTCTAAACAGATCTAAATTTCGTTTTCATTGATCGGCTTTTGTTTATAATTAACTGTATCGTGAAAAATAGTGAAGCCGTAATTATTAAATAAAAAAATATTTAGAATTTATAATTGATTAGCTTCCAGACGTCTAGACATTAGCTTAGGACATTATGACGTCATCCCATTAAAGAAATACGCGCGTTGAACTTTGTCACGTTTTCCATTGTATCGTATTCGTCGAAGTTTTGTTTTTCGGCAGTTAATAAAGTTGCTTTTGAGATTGGTAATCAAATTTTTTTGGTGTTCTGAAAGTAACACTATATAGGACCAACGCGATAGTGTTCATTAATTGTCTAAGCGTTCTAATGTCGTACGTATTAAAGCAAAAATGATTAGTGAAGAATTTAATTAAATATTTAAACACATTGATTATACACTAGACGTTCTTCGTCAGTTAATGAAAAAAAACCCTTGCATATATAAAGTGCTGTTTGTGTCACTCTGTAATTTCGTTATTAAAAACTATTACAACGATCAATCTCAGACTAATTGCATTCATTTTAATACTAAACCTACCTCAAATTATCTATATTCAAACTGTTGTAAAATGTACAAACTTTAAATCTTATCAAAGTACAAGAAAATTCTTAGAATATACATATAACACTTTCTTCGCTCTCAATTTCAAGTAGTTTTTTCTTAATTTTATTCTTTACTATGAAAAAAAAACAGTTGAATAATGAATTGAATTTGATTGCATTGCATAATGATCGATAACTTTTAAAATTACCGGTCAATTTGATCGAGCGCGCCAAGAACAGACAAAGGTTTGTGGTTTTCTTCGTTGATAAAAACTAATGCTAAACTGAGGTTTATTTATTTATGTACTAGGCTCCCACAATCTATTA